GCCATCGTTAGTGTTACCACTGCCTTGATTATTACTATCACCCTCGTTAGTGTTACCACTGCCTTGATTATTAGTAACCACCATCGTTAGTGTTACCACTGCTTTGATTATCAGTACCACCATCGTTTGGTGTTACACTGCCTTGATTATCAGTACTGCCAGGGTGATACTGATAATCAAGGCAGTGGTAACACTAACGATGGTGATACTGATAATCAAGGCAGTGGTAACACTAACGATGGTGGTACTAGACAGCCAGGCAGTGGTAACACTAACGATGGTGGTACCAGGCAGCCCGGGGGTGGTAACACTAATAGTACTGACAGTAGTTATCCAACCAACGGTAACATTAATCATGGTGGTGCAGATCAACCAGTTGTCGGTGGAACAGCAACGACGGGAGTCGGCAGTTCTAATCTACCCGGCAGTGATCTGGATCAAAAAGGCAGCAATAATGCAGGGACAGGCAGTGGTCAATCAGGCAGTGGAGTTACTGGTCAGCCAGGCAGTGACAAGAACAAACAGTCAGGCAGTGAAAGTAAGGATCAGTCAGCCAATAATAGCAGTGAAGGAACAGGCAGTGGAGGCACTGGTCAATCTGGCAGTACTAGCACTGGACAACCAGGAACTGACAGTACTGGTCAGCAGCTAGGAAGTAATAACAGTGGGCAGTCGGGGAATGGCAGTACGCAACTACCAGGCAGTGACGGGATAGGACAGAAAGCAAGCAGTAATGAGAGCCAGCAAGTCAGTAGAATCCCCGGCAATGCCACAGCAACTGATGCTAGTGGAACTGGCACAAACACCAGTGGGCAAGGCAATGATACCACCGGACAAGCCGGCAACGGTCGCACTGACGTCGGAAGCACTAACCAGCCTGGCAGTAGTGGTACTGATCAAGTTGACAAGAGTGCCACTGCTCAGTCAGGTGTTGGCGGTGGTAATCAGGCTAGCAAAGGGCCTGCCGCTAATAGCACCGGCCAGCCAAACAACACCACCAGTACTCAGCCGGGCAACATTGCTTCTACCAAGACTAATAACGGCGGGACCGGCCAGCAAAGCAACGTTGCGACAACAATTGTCGGTTCACACATCCCTCCTGCTATAGAATGTGAAGGAATAGATTTTGATGAGCTGCCTAGCCATCACGCAAAGTCATGCAAACCCGGCCACCCGGGAGGATGTGGATGGGGCACGGGGATGGTGTGTCAGGCAGTGTCACCTTGGAAGCACGAATGTCGCTGCCCGGCTGGACATTGGCTATCGAAGACCAGCGAGAAGAAATGTGAAAGTACGTATAACGTTTACGAGGCGAGTTAGCTTCTACCAGTTATAGGACATCACTATATTATAAATAGAATAATGGCGATACCTATCTATGGTGCATCATTCATGTCACGTATTATTTTTCGTGCTTAAACTAAATAAAACACGTCTGTAAAACTTCTAAACTAATAGTAATAAGATTGCACAACTATTCCGTTAAATTGCTCTTGGAAGTTTAGAATGGTACATGCATGTGTGAGTTAACGTACGTACTCTTCGTTGCTTTCGTGATCGTCAGGAAGCGTTCTGTTCCGAGTTCAGTTCAGGATGCTACAACTCTGCAATAAAGATTTGGAGTACGTGCCCAACATGGATGACCCTGAGAGTGAAGACTTTAAGAACGTTCAGAAATTAACCATGTTCGGGGTAATGATGCAGATGACACCGGCATATTTATACAAACGCGAAGATTATGAATGTGGTATTTTATTTCTTCTGATAGTGATTACAGTTTAATGAATAGCGTTTTCATGGCTTCATAACATTCCTAAACAATTTAAAATGTTATGAAGAAAATGTTCATGCGCTGTAACAATGCGAGAATCATGATAATGCAAGACTGCCTATATGATCCGCAATTTTTATTATTTATTAAATAGTGCGCGTGAAAATGCGCATTTAGAAATTGAAAAATGAAATCACATATTCCAGAATGCTCATCCACTAAGGCTAGATAACTATAATTCATACCCTAGAATCCTAGATGATCTTCGTTCTTGCAGATGACAACTTTGATGGATCTCACTCCAACTCTACAAGACAAACTTTTAGGAGGATCGGTTGATAGATTTCTGCCTGGGAGTATCGTAGTACGGGGCATGGTCAGCTTTCGCACACATACTATTCAACGCCAAAGCAGACGACGCCGTCAAACGTCAGGTAGCGTTACTGCCAACGACATCCAACAGCAGGTAACCGAGGCTCTACAACAGACGGGCGGGTTGCTTGGGGAGAGTCGCCTCAGTGTGGACGAAGGCGGCATCGTTGTACTCGGTAACTATATACTATTTCCTCGGTTGTGGAACTACTATTTCCGAAAAAATATTAGGCCTAGTTAATACGTTAGGTCTTGTTGCCTACGTTGATATGATATTTAGTGAGACCCTGGATAGATAGAACCGCTAGATTGCACCGTATGTTGCGTGATACCGACAGTATGATTGCTATTGCTCACCGCTCTACGCAATGAAAGGTAATTGAAGGTCCACTTACTGTTCATGCAGCACGAGCGATAGGTTGAATTGCGTGATCACCTTTAATACATTTACTTTACCTTACATCAACTTGGCGCTTTATCACTTGCAGCCATCAATCCATGCACCAGCAGCGACTTCAATGATTGTCACGAGGACGCAACGTGTCAATACATGAGCAACTCCCAGTACACGTGTGCCTGTCATTTTGGCTTCATCGATACATCACCTGATCGGAACTACCCTGGTCGGAACTGCAGTTTAGGTAAGACCATTGAATTTACGGTCTCCGGAAATATGTAGATCCGCAATATATTGCTTTACTGGATTTGACGTACACTTAACGTTCACAGGTATAAACCAACAGGTAAAACCGATTACAAAAAGAAGGACATCGTTCTTTATAATGTTCATGCTATAAATAATCTATAATAGCAGGTGATACGTTAAAAAATATTCCACCCATAAAGTGATGACCTCTGTTACATTTTGAAACAGCGATTGCGACGACCAGACAAATCGTAAGCAGCACTGTGGGTTACCAAACAAGTTCCGCTAATATTTCTGGACCGGTTATTAGCACAAATTCAGGAATTACACCTAAAGTCGAGGAATCTTTAAGGTAACCCAACAGCCAATAACTACTGCTCGATGATTGAACCATTGTAGCTAACCATATTATAGTAACTGTAAATGATAACTTTTGAAATATGATGTGATAGTCATTTATGTCTATGATGATGAATTTTTTTCTAGGTTTAACTGCAGCGGAATGATATTAGCAGGAAGTTGTGTGTCAACGGGAATAGGTAAGTATTAATTCATCAATACTGTATAATGCATATTAAGTTGTAGTGAATCTAGGTACGATAGATAGCTAAGCATAATAATTATATTGTATCGTAGTGGTCTTTATATTATAGATATATCTATATATCTCTCTCTCTCTCTCTCTCTCTCTCTCTCTCTCTCTCTCTCTCTCTCTCTCTCTCTCTCTATATATATATATATATATCGATATACATATACGTGCGCACGCGCACACAAGTGAAGATAGATAAAGATGAATATCGTATGTTTTCATATAATTCCAGGATAACTTTGCCATGAGTTTTTAATACATATTCGCAATTTTCTTACAGGTTCGACCATCATTGTCATCTTAGTTCTCCTAATACTCATTCTGCTGCTACTCATAATATTCCTGATCTACTGGTACCGCAAACGTAGGAGGTAAGAAAGCTGTCATAAACGCATAAACGTGAAAAAACAGAATGAGCCAAATGCTTAAATAGAGTAATTAAACTTTACTTAAAATTACGTGAAATCGAAATATTGTTTCATCCAGATTTTTCCATTCTTCACAATCACCAGCCGCGTCTGCTTCTACAATTCGCGCCTGTTCCCATTCACAGGAACTATCCCGTGCAGACTATCCAGCAGCAAGACGCGTGGACAGAAGCCGAAGATGACGACTACAAGCGTGTGACCAAGTCGCAACAGCGCATCCTACTACAGGGTCGGTCCAGCGGCTCTAGCGGCGACTCTCTCATCCGGGAGGAGGTCCTGCAGAACGAGTCTCCGCTACCGAACAGCCTCGTCAGTCCGCGCGAGGTCGCCACCAGCTCGAAGCAGATCCAGGCGTTCAGCTCGATCGACTTGCGCAGCGAGATGCGCGACGCGAGCGACCAGACGTACGCGCACCCGGTGATGGACAGCGGAGACCAGACGGACGCGAAGCAGGTGAGAGACAGCGAGGACCAGACGTCGCAGGTGCGTCTCGTCAAGGAGAGCGGCGACCAGACGGAGGGAAAGCCGGACGTCGTCGAGACGAAGGACAGCGCCGACCAGACGAGTCGACCCGCGTCGGCAGTCGCGCCGTCGCAGGAGACGCTCGCGAATCGCGACGAGGTCGACGTCTGCGTCGCCGAGGTTGCCGCCGCGAAGCTGCAGGGGTCGCTGGAGAAGACGAGCAGCCTCGTGACGAAGAGCGACGTTCAGCTGGACGTCGACAGCGACGAGAAGAAGAAACCTGCGGCGGGAGCAGCGGCCGACGACAGCGACAACGAGTTCGCGTTAACGCCGCGCGAGGCGCAGCGCCACAGTCACAAGCGCAGGAAGCCGAAGCCGAAGGGCATTCCGCTGAAGCACGCCTGGGGCGACGCGACGGACGAGAGCGAGTACTCGCCGTCGCCGCCTGACGACGGCAAGCCGCAGCATCACAGTCGCAAGCTTCTAGATCCGCGCGGCGCGAGCAGCATATCAGACGAGAGCATTAACAAAAGTCGCCACCAGACGGCGAAAAAGTTCTCGCGCTACGCGGGGACGTCGCCTCGGTCGCGACGTCGCGCGGAGAGTGCCTTCAGTCAGGACAACTACCAGCAGATCATGGAGGCATATCAACCGACGGAGGTGCGCACCAACTCGGCGGCCACTGCCAGCTACAAGCCCCAGATGATCCATCCGACTTCGCAGCGAATGGTGAAACTGTGGGAGAACAACATGTGGTGGAAATTCAAGTTCAAAGACGACAAGTCGCCCAACAACTAAAGCTGGCATAACCCGAATAAGTTAGTGGCACCCCTATCAACATTGCATTTGCTGTTCATGTAGTGAACGGGCAGAGAGGGAGTGAAAACGAACGCATTGATTATTCGGGTTACAACTGGCACCACCTATAAAAGCATGAGCTCGATACATTTACGTCTGTGATAACCCTCTCTCGTTGAACCCCATGCGATCTACCGGTTACGGATGCCTACGACAGAATATCGTGAATGAACGTGTTTTTAACAACGTCTTACGAAACCGGCAGATCTAGATTTTATTATGTTTTATTATTTGTACAGTTGCATCAAAGTTGGATATAGTATACGGATGACTGGCTATTCCCATTTTTTACTGAATGTAGTAATCGTTTGATTGTTCTATATAAGACCCATTATAAGATGTTCAACAACAAAGGACCGCACTAAAAACCACAATACTGTAAGCAATATTTGTCATAGAATTAGTGTAAGCAATAAACTTCGAATAAAATTGAATTGCGTAGCTTAGTCAGGTCAGCCACAGCAAATATATATTAAAAAATTATTTTGTTATTAATAGTGTAAAAATTTTATTTTCGAACAGAAAATATTCGATGAGTTATTGTACCTACTGCACATTGTTTTGTTATTTCAAAGACTGTTCAACTGTAAAATACGGTTTCATACACATCATACCATTTGTAAATAGATATATAAAGACAGGTACGCATGCACGCACGCGTGCGCACACACACACGCGCACGCACACACGCGCGCGCGCACACACACACATACGCGCGTGCACGCGTATATATCACCATGCATAATGTGTGCAAAGGTAAAATAAAGCGTTAATAATAAAATTCTGCCCCAGCATTCATTAGTATACATTTTCCACCTTGAATTTTATTTACTGTTGATGTTATTCTAACATGTATTGTTAAACATATGTAATAAAATAAATGCATATATATGATATATAAACTTCTTTCTTGTTGTAATTCAAGACAAATTAATACCGAGCTCAACATATTAATCACGAGTAGAGAGGTTTGATGGACCATTCTAAATTTTGTACAAAAATCAAGCAAACGTTTGGTTTACGCGATGTGTAAAAATAAGGAAATCCCGGGCACTGTATATAAATACATAAATAATTATATATGATATAATATAACTACCACCATTCACATTACATTTCATGTTTCACATTAATTCGTACCTTCGAATTCTCAAATATACACCACAAGTGCTACCTATCTCGTGTCGAAAATAACAAAGGCCATAAGTATGATGCGTAGGCATATTAATTTCTCTTCAATTATGATTACACCAGCTGACACCTTATTCACCTTGAGGATACTGATAGACACTACAGCTACAAATGTACAGTATAAATATCATTGATATATATATATATATATATATATATATATATATATATTCCCGTGGGAAATTGGATTACTACTACCATGCAATCACGAAAGGTAGTTTACTTGACGCGGTCAATACAAATCAATTGCACACAAAAGTTTATCCGAAAACGTGTGTGCAAGAATGGGGGCAATTGGATCAATAAATGTGTATGCTATTGCCAGTTCATAGCAGGGGTGCACGTATATTAATCGTTTCATTAACGCTACTTAGACTAATTTTGTATGTTTAAACTTATGTGTTGTCATTATGACACGATATTCATAAATTTCAACACTGAGCGCTTTTCCTTTCGTACAGATAGGAATCGCAAGCAGTGAGAGAAAATTTCAGAATGTTGAACACTATTTGTCGCTTTTTTGTACCTCGCTATCCATAATTACACTGAACAACATTTGTTGACTGTACGCAAGTGCCAATCTTTCAACTACATGCGCGTATATATGGCTTTGGTAAGATTCAAATTTCGTTTAACAAGTATAGAAGCCAGTACTGCCTGGTACACTGCCTGATCAATACCGAAAATAATCAGTGGTTACTACGCAGCGGCACGCGCAACTGCCTCGAGACGTGACACTTGAACGACAGGAACTACTGTGTAGCAATCCTGAGTGCTTAGCCATGGCTGTCATGGATAATTAGGCGGAAACAGGGGGAACACGTATAATAACCAATCATGCTGGAACTACCATACTAAAACTACTGCAGCAGCTAAAATCCTTCAGACACTTTGGCATTCTCAGTTATTCAGTACATTTGTAATGTTAGTGTTGGTGATGATGACATCTTGTTACACACAAATTATACAAATCCCTAGTCCAAGTCAGAGAGCTCACTTTAGTCAATTGGTTGTTCATTCAAACCCTGAACCGAAATTGTAATAAAAGATCTCTGCAAACCTACTATTTTCTCTCACGTTTTCATTACTAGTAGTTCTGTGCTTATCACACGGAAAGATAGTCCTTGCAAACCTCCTGGATAATTCCTTATCAAATTGTCAATATAAATGGCTTCAGTACTTTGACAGCAAGGCGTATCCTCTGGTGAGATCCAGAGCATTTCGGACTTTGTAGTAATGAAACGTTCCCAGTATTGCCATGATGACCAGAATAACGAGTTGCACTGGCAGGTACAGAAATCCGCTGTAGTAAAACGCAGCAGCAGCAGCGAGGGACTGCAAGAGAGGAAATCCTATGTTACGACATGGATTTTTCTCACATGAGATATGAAATGTTATTTGGTGCCGTGGAACGGTGAGATTAAGGTAGGCTTCGTGCGTGACCTATATCTAATGTTACAGTAGACTGCAGACATATATTACTCAAGCTCAAGGGGTCGTTGTCGTATCAGGTACTACAGATATGTACCCGAGGTACATATATGTATACACAAAGTGTACCAGACTTGTACTACAGAAGTGTACCCTAACCCTAACCCAAACCCTAAACATACTTCATATAAAAATATAAACATAATACTAAACAACCTAAAACTACCTCCTAATTATATAAAAATATAAACATAATACTAAACAACCTAAAACTACCTCGGGTACATATCTGTAGTACCTGATACGACAACGACCCCATCTGCATTACTCAATGATGATTCAAGCAATTATTATTGACACAGAAGAAAATTTCCTGGTGTTAAATAAACTTGTGCATTTTATTATACAGCTCATTATATGTACATTCCTCATCAAAGATTATTTAAGCAACATACATTCATTTATACTCCGTAGCTCATGAAACTACTATGAAGAAACAAAATATACACTTTGAATTTATCCCCACTTCATCATGCAATCACTAGATATATACCATAAAAACTATATGTGACATCAATATTGACAGCAATTGATTGCACTTCTTCATCAACACGCTAGGTACAAGAATACAATCACCAATAAACACTTATCAGAGTAATATAGATTCAACAATTCAAATTCTCAATAGTACATGTGCAAATTGTGAAAAGAGCCAGCACAATCCTATTCATACAGTGGCAACACACAGAGCAATAATTCAATAATTGACACAGTACCATCAAGCCTATTAGTTGCGCATGAGAAATTCATAATCTGCCTGTTTTGAGTGGCAATCCAAATGTAACTACATAGTTATTTGTGAAGCAGAGGGGCAGTGAATACTTTTACGAATCTGCTAGATATCACCAGACACAACGTGATAGCCAGACTGCTGTGTCGCGACAACTCTCCACTCCACCACGAAGAAGCAGATCGTGCCGAAGAAATCAAAGATGACTAGAATAAGGAGTTGAAACTCTAGCAGAAGTTCACTCGAGTAGAAGAATGCTGCCGCAGCTGACAAAGACTGAAAACGCAAACACCATTATACTGATGAAGCCAAATGCGCCCTGTGTGCACCAAAGCAGGAAGAGGATGCATTGTGCAAGAAAAGGATAATTTTGGAATCACGACGGAAAAGACTATTAGCGGCTGTTGTTCTAGCAAGAGCGTTATTGTCTAACCTACCTGTACGAACTTGAACAGAGCAAATGCCGGGGCGCTGTCTTCAGGAAACATCATGCCTAGGATCGAATATATCTGAAAAATTCAGAGTGAAAATATTTAAATTGTGGCAACACACTGCACCCTCTTACACATTTAAATATATTGACAACCCATTTATTTGACGACCCAACCTATTTCATTAAGTAAGTTATGCATATATTTTACCAGATAGATTTATGGTGAGACAAGGCAGTATATTATAGTTTCTGCTTTAAAGGCAACAAATTGAGCAACATTTGTATTTAATTACCTGTGTATTAAAGCTGCTATCTCCAAGGCCAAGGAGGAAGCTACACACTATTGCAAGGTACAGACTGCAAGAGACAAGCGATGATTTGGCATCAAAACATTTGACATGTTTTAGCATACTAAAGGTAAGCAGATGTTTTGAGAAAAGGATCTTAGAAGAGCATTAGGTGGCTTTAAAACATTCCATTGATTTATGTAACAGCCATTTGGTGCTTATTGTGAATTAAGGATATGATTCATCACATATCATTACATACTTTGGTGGAGTGATCACAGACAAAGCTTGTGTGTCCTGAAGAGGAGATTCTCCAGGCAAATTTATGTAGATGAGGAAGAAACAGATCATGTGGATGACGCATCCAAACATGACTATAGGATCCCTGCCATAACGATTGGTCCTTTTTCCAAACAACCCAAAGGTGGCGCCACCTATCAATACAATTCATAGAGCCAAGGAATTAAACACTATCACACGCAACACGGCTCTATATAGATAGATCAGTCGATGAACGTACCACTGTTCTAGCTTGGAGTAATCATTCTGAATGATTACTCCAAGGTTCTAGCAACAATATTATTGCAAATTATATAAGAATGCCACTAGATGGCAGAAATGGGTAGAATGACTTAGTGTGAGCAATCAGGTTTCTGATCATTGGTTTCTATACAATGAATGTTGGTACATGCCAATATAGTTTTTAATTATATTAGTTAAATATGTAACATACATTACACTACATGATCGAGGATATTTTGGACATCAGTGAACAAAAGTAGGGCAGAAAGTGGCATCTAGTGACACCTTTCGAAAATTCCTAAATAGCATCATGACTGAAACAGCTGCTGCTGGTATAATGATCTTTCATGTTCATTGTATAGATACGTTCACAATCACACTAATTGGTTAATACTAATTTTAGGTTTTATTACGTACGAAATACAAAAGCAAAAACCCAAAAGCTTGCCATTATTTAGAATTCCCCCGAGAAAAATAACTAAGATCTTAGTCATTAGTATTGAAATTTACATAAAATTTGTACACTTACGTAGCAGTTTCCTTGTGATAAATCAACATTTGCATAGAATTTTTTCCTCACGTGCACCAAATAACTGTTTCCTTGCGATAATTCAATATTTCGATAGATTTTTTCCCGACCCGCCAGACCTTACCTAGAATTTCACCGATGCCGATGAAAACTCCGGACAGGCCGAGGAGTTGTTTCGCAGATTCACCGAATTGCAGTGTGTGCCCCACGCTGGTTCCATACACACCGCTGAAGAACGTCAGCTCCAACCCTGCAAAGCAGACGTTCAGACAGCGATAAACGCGACGACCGTCTTTACTGCGAGGAATGGTTCGTGTCAGTTACCATCTAATACTAGAGAATAATAATAATCTTATAATAATAATAATAATAATAATGATAATCTAATAAAAGACTAACTCGACAAGTGATGCTCTCTCGTCGCTGACACGTGCCCGAATAGGGTCACACCGAGAGCCTAAAATACGCCGCATCACGGCTTGTAGTGAATACCCTGAGCTCAGATTTATTCCAGGGTAAAAAATACACTGGAGCAATGAGCGATTCGCTCTTCAAACCTCTGAAATCCCTCCCGTGAGGCTCAAAATAGCTCCCGTAAAATTTTTGACGAGAGCTATTTTTCCACAGACTTTTGAAAAAAAGCTCCCGTAAAAAGAAAGAAATTTTTCCCCTGACTTATTGTCTACATGTATTAAATTGCAGCCGTTACTCTTGTCATCAGTGTGATCCAGAAGAAAGATAACTTAGCTAAACATGTGCACTTTCCGTGCTTTGGTCATAACTGAATAGCCATACTGTATTATATTCTAGAGTTGAAGGTGCATACACCTACTATATTATTTATTCAACTATACAACTGCACATGTAGTTATAAACCGTGAATGCTATCAACAAGCACTTTAGTTGATGCGCTGTAAAGTGAATCAAATGTTTCTCAATCATCCCTAGATGACTCAGCATTCGCAACTAAATGTTTCTGTAATTATAGTTAAAAAAAACTCACTTCTACTGGTACAAACCTGTGTATGCAAAGCAGACACTTAGAAACAGCATCTCTCTTGTACGCAGTAGCTCCAGGGACCGTTCTACAATCAATAAAATATGGATATATAAGCACTTTATACAGCATTGCTTCAGATGTGTCAGATCCACTGTGCATATATATTTATAACTTTTATATGCAAATCAATTGTGTATAACCATTTATCTTGCATGGTCAAAAGACTGTACTTTACCCTTTAATTTGCACCCTTAATAATTCTGTGCTAGCATATCAGCTCATCATTTCAAATGCTCTTGCTTACAGAAAACATGAGCCAGACATAGAATCAGAAATGTAATAGTTTAAGTCTAAATGCCATGAAGCCAAATATCTAGTACAACTTGGGAAACGATCAACTTACTGAGTGCTTGCATGGGTCTGTTTGGTACTGGTCTCCTAAGAAATGAAATCAATATTTACTCTATTAGTTACCGTAACACTTACTATAATAATAAATAATCATAACAGTGAACAAAATAAAACAAAATAGTTTTAGCTTTCTGACAGACTACACAGCATTATGATGCAAAAGCTCAAAATTTTATTCTACAGTAACTCTTATTAAATGTCATTAGCTTTCAATTAATGATAAGATTATTTAATACTGAGATAAATACAAATATTTTGATCTACACATTTTTATTTTATTTTGCAAAATTAATTTTACATGCAATAACACATACCAGAAAAAATGAACAAAAGCATTTTATATTCATTTAAAAAAAACAGACACCAGTACTTTGAGTTATGCGACGAGAAAACACGAGTGAACTCACGTTGCGTTAATACTGAGCAGGTCTTCATTGTCTATACCTCTCCGGTTGCGCAGGAGAAGGAGGAGGAGTAGTCCGACACAGCACGTTACCAACAGCACTGTGAAGAGTGTGTTTCTGCTGGAATCATCTATGTGGATCTCCCCGTGAAACTTGAAGTATGCATACAGGTTTCCAAACAACAGACTGCAAAAAATGATGTCAGAAATGTCAGAAATTATGAGTTAAAATATAAAAAAATGGCACCAAGGCTGGATAAACACATAGCTGTGTGGTAGCCACTGTCATTCGCTCATCATTGTATATCATTGACACATGATCTTTGAATCTCACATTTCGCCATTAGTTTATCCTTTGTTGTAATTCACTAGCTAGAACAATGCAAAATAATAGCCCAAATTTACACTAACCAACACAAATAATAATAAATTTTAATACACTACAGTATAAAAGGTTTAGATTAGTTTCAAAACGAGAATATAATGTTTACCTGCACTGAAGCAATGCCCAGAATATCCCACTGTTTCTGCTAATTGTTTCACTGTCAGAGTTGATTGTAAGATAGGAACCTTGAGCAGTCCACAATACTGAAAGAAATTCATGACTGAATGAAATATTGAAACTTATGACAAAATAAAACTGACCTTCATGTAAGACTCTATATTTAATTAACACTATGCTTGTCTGTGGGTAGGTCACCATAGCATCTCACACATGTTATGGATATTGCTCCCAATTATCTTCCTTGCTCTCTCAAAAATCAACAATTACCAGACCTAACTCATGTCGTGGGATTCATCACAAGTTATACACGAAAATCATGTACTGGATTTTCTCGACGTTTCTTTTCTGTTTCTAAGTATCGATGTATTAAGGCTGAGAGGGTCTATGTCCCCCAAGGTACTGCCGGAACGTACCCTGGTACCATCTAATATGCCGGACCGTACCTCGCCAACTCCACTAACGAGTCTAGGGAGTCGCCTACGCCTACTCCCTAACCCTAACCATATCAGAGTTACCAGGGTACGTTCCGGTATACCCTGGGGGACATAGACCCTATGAGATGTATTAGGTGCATGTCTGTAGATAAAATAATTAATTCATAACAGATTTATAATACTTTACCTGCAGCAGCAATACCGAGAACGGCAGAACCTCCATATATGGAATAAGTGGATGGCTTTAGAAACAGGCCAATGAAAATACTGAAGAAAACAAACGATCACATTGATTATGTAAATGCCTAGTGCATTGCTTGAATATTACATTACACTGTAAATTATATGAATACTATTTATTTTAGGTGTAAATCTGTATAATTATTTAGGGAACATCTGTGTTAGAATTCCAGTGAACGGTGAAACACAATACCACATCACTGAACCACTTTTATCATTAATATAATAACTTATCAATTTGATTCACTATTATCACAAATTTTCAATACAGCAAGTCAATTCACTCTTTGTAAGTGCGCTTTCAAGTTGAATATTAATTTAGTGACAACTACATGGCGACACAAACTGCAAATGTCTGATGTATGATATACATAACATGTAATGCTATATACTCTACATGGGCTAGCACAAAAAATTAGCAATTACACCATAAAAATATTTCTCACCAGTAGACAACGCCGCCAAACACCATAGCGTATTTTGGTCCAGTGACACTGATGATGGATGGAGCTGCCCAGTTACTCGCTGCGAACACAGCATACAGGATGGCAAGACTGGAACACAAATACGCCACACTTTTACTACAATAATGAAAGTGTCAATGACACTGTAGCTCACCTTAGGTGTGATAGAATAGGGAGGGGGATATATAAAGCAAGAGTATATATGGGAGAACTCCCATTATATAGCATATCTCCCATTATATACTCTTGATAATGATATATGCATAAGTTTTGATGCGAAAATAAATGTTTCCGATCTAAAAGTCTGAAATCTTGACGAGAAATGGCGCTACGCCTAAATGATCGCCATTTTGGTTTTCGAATATCGCACAAATAAAAACAATAAAATATTTCAGTCAAATTACTGTAACGAAGAATCTAAAACACAATATTACACGTATATAGGTATGAATCCAATAGCTCACCTTGACGATGTCAAGGCGAGCTAAAAATAGACACAACACTAGACTGATAACAAGCAAATTGTCGAGTCAACAGTCTTTGATCAAATGACATATCAAATCATATATCATATCATATCAAAAACATCATATCAAATCAAAACGCAGTTTACCTTACATATCCATCGACACCTGTACCCTCTAACACGGTTTTCTGAAACAATGTATAAAATACAATTATAACTTAAATAAATCCGCGGTGTGACAGTAGCCTGAAACTCAGGTTCTACATTTGTGTTGTGACACCATCCCAGGCCCTAATGCGCCAGCCTGACAGAGAGGGGGGCACAGGCTTGACTAAATGTATATGTCCGTGTTTGTCATTACTGTGCAAAGGCAGTAGCGCCATGACATTTATTACAGAGACCAACTAATTGCGAAGTTAATCCATTTTTTACCCCACCATTTTACTCCTTACTCAAGCCCAGCCACTTCTTCAGGAAATTGTTGGAGGATTTGATGGTGGTCAACAAGTTGAAGTGCCATAGTTTCTTAGGTAAGTTGTTTGCAGTCTAACACACAATTAACCTGGTTTGTGCTGCTATCATTGATGTCACATGGATGGAGGGGCTCAATTCTAAATAATGGGCCAAAAATGATTTAGCTATTTCTGACTAATATAGTAATTAATAGTTTATATGATTATTGTCCTATATAGAATATATATACATTAGGGGGCTTGGGTTAGGGTTACGGTTAGTCAGAAATAGCTAAACGAGCCAGGTCAAACAGAGGTCAGGGAGACATAGACCCTACGAGCTCAACTGACGTGTACTGTAGCCGGGTATTCTTCTGATAAACTCACTGGCAACCGAATCAAGTGCGCCCTCCCGCCACCGCATTGATAGGCTTTGCGATACCGGTAGTACAGTAATAAAGATATAGCTGTGTAACTTTAATGACTTCTCTATATTAACGTTATCATGGATATGCGTCGAGCGCGAGCGTAGTGGTGGTGGTGGGTGGAGGGTGGGGGGAGGGGCGAGGGGAGGATGGGGGGGAGGGGTGGGTGGAGGGGGCTCTAATGGCAAAAGCAGTTCAGTCCTTTGTTAACAGTCAACAAATCCATGTTTAACCCTCCTCTTGAGGGTCAAAAGGTTATCAGACACTTACTCTTCGCACGTCAGCGGAAAGTAGATTTAACAGTCCTTCAAATAAAGTGATAAAAATGGTAGGTCAGCGCTGAAACAAAAAAGTTTTGCACTCGGTCCGTTAGACCATGTCCTCAAAAAATGTCTGATATCTGACCTTTCCCCCACTGCCCTTTTACCTCCAATTTCGCGCTGGTGACGGTCCTGGTGGTGGTGATTCCTCTCCATCACACTATACATCCAATATTAAGAGCGTAGGTCAAGCTGTTGAGATTTGTACCGCAATTCCGTATTTCCTCCTATACCTTAAGTTAAGGGGGAAATATTCCCCCATTAACACATCTTGACCTTTGACCCTTGACCCCCCAAATTCGACATCCCGAGTCCGTCTCGCTAATTCTTCAGACTCAAACAGACTATTTGGGTAAACTTACTGATGTGTGCGAATTTAGTAATAAATACATATAATGGCTGAACTGCAATACGCACCTCTACCATAGTACATGTTTGAAATGCTGTAAATATTAGCATAAACGCAAATCCAAGAAGAACAACATTCAGAGTTTTGTTTTCCATCATTATCACGGCCACGTACGTCCGAAAGGTGGCGTATTTGTTCCCGTTAATTTAGATGGTCACACTATCGCTTTACTATATTATTCTTTAACCTATTGCAAGGAAAAGTGTCTCATCTACTGCCGGCTCGGCAGTGGTCGAGGTTTGAGCAGTAACTTCATCGTGTTATTGTAAGTTTTACGTATAAAATACTTAATATTTGTAGATACCATCTAAAACCAAACATTATTGTAAAACAATTTGTATACGGTCTTCGATGTCATAGCTTTTCCCACACCCATCACACTGAATAATCGCTGGCTTAGACGATTGGAGTTAGGTTCAACTTCAACTTGTACTTGTTGCATTAATGATTAAACATGCATTTGCTAATGGAGCACGTCGTACTCAGTCAAATCTAAAAACACCCGACAACAAATAATATTCTTGCAGACAAAGAACATGGATTCAGAAGCCAACTCTCCTGCAAACCCAAACTGATTTTATGTCTCCCAAACCAATGGCAATTAATGCACATTGTGGGCAAAATCGACGAATCCCCAAAGACAAGTTGATGTATTACTTTTCAACTTCAGCAAAACATTTGACATTGTAGCCAAATGCAAACTTCTCATAAAATTGGAATATTATAGAATTAAAGAACACCTTCAGGTGGGCTAGATCCGTTCTAGCGAACAGTTCCCAGGTAGTATCTGTACAAGGCCGTATCCGGACAACTACCCCCTGGACAACTATACCCTCTGGACAACTAGCCCAAGACAATTAACTACCCCCCGGACAACTACCACCCGGACAATTACCCCCCTAGGACAACTACTCCCCTGGACAACTAGCCCAAGACAATTAACTACCCCCCGGACAACTACCACCCGGACAATTACCCCCCTAGGACAACTACCACCCGAACAACTGCGACCCGGACAACTACCCCCTAGGACAACTACTACCTGCATGGACAACTAGCCCAAGACAATTAATTACCCCCCGGACAACTACCACCCGGACAATTACCCCCTTAAGACAACTACCCCCCTGGACAACTAGCCCAAGACAATTAACTACCCCATGGACAACTACCACCCGGACAATTAATTACCCCCCTAGGACAACTACCACCCGAACAACTGCGACCCGGACAACTACCTCCCTAGGACAATTAACTACCACCCGGACGGTTACCCCCCTAGGACAACTACTACCTGGACAACTACCACCCAGACGGTTACCCCCCTAGGACATGCAATTACCACCCGGACAAGTACCACCCGCACAATTTAACCCGCGCAACTACCACGCAGACAAGTACCCCCCCCCTCCATACAGTAATGATGGCCCATCTACACTACACATCGGACTTTTACCAACTTCATGATTATCGTCCCAGGGTCATTACCCATTTACACTTACCCACCATGCTGTTACTACCAGCTAGAGGAGGACGGATTTTTCTTTTAAAAAGTTCTTGCCAGAAAAGTTAACTGAAGAAAAAAAAGTTGCTATATAATTAATGGATTAATGACGTACTTTAAGTTTTCATAAACATTCTAAATTTCGTATTAGATATTTTTATAGATCTTTCTCTAGTGTGAAATTTCACAAATTTCCAATTATCTCCCAAAATGACCCTTGAAAATATTAAAAAATTATTGTTTCAATTGGAAATGAATGAAAATTAGGGTAGTACTTGTCCGTAATGGTAATTGTCCAGGTGGTAATTGCTCCTTTGGTAATTGTCCAGGTGGTAAATGCCTGGGTGGTAATTGTCCTAGGGGGCTAATTGTCCTAGGTGGCAGTTGTCCTGGTGGTAGTTGTCCTGGGGTGGTAGTTGTCTGGGGGGTAGTTGTCCAGGGGGTAATTATCCTAGAATCGTACAAGGCACCTACAGTTAGTCAATAGAGGTAACGTCTGAAATGGGCGAGGCAATGTACCCCATCATTACCTAGCAAAAACCCCTGCATATCTAGTAGGTTCCACCGTGCCAGGTGGTGTATCCTCATGCACCTCCAAGATTGTGAAATCGCAGAAGACAATCACTGCATGATATAGTGCATGTATGTCAAGTAAGTGGCTATATATATATTGCCGACTACAAATTATACTGTGCAGCCTATCGTATGAAACTTGCTTGCAGTGAATTGTGAAGGAGATTATGTAATTAACCTTTGATGGTATATACCCTTGAGTTTTCCGTAACAGTAATTATGTATGTGGTACATCAGTTTACAGCACTACATGGTTTGACAGGTGAATCATGCTGTGATGATTGGGTTTCGGAAGGTCAGACTTGTCTTGCGTGCTGTGAGCAGTCGTGTGCACAGCTGCCCACGATACTCCTCAAGCTGGTCTCCACTTGGTGCTGCATTTAATGCCAAACCTGCCAGAAAACTCAACTTCAGTTTCACTAACGGAAATGCGGTAAGTCTGATTCTAAATTAAGTACAGTCGTTGTTTTAGACACTTCAAGCCAAGTGTCCCTGTTGGTACTTGTACATCCTATCTGGCATTTTGTGCTACCTGTCCTAGTTTAATGAGTTTTTATAGTTATTTTTAAACTACAATCTAACATAATACCTCTGTATTCTGTAAAAGAGCATGTGCCCATTGGTCGAAATAAGCAATTAGAAAGCACATCAATTTTAGGAGTGGTAATAACCCAGGCTACTACACAGTTCCATGGCTATAGAGAGGAAATCCATAGAGCAAATCTAAAATGTTTGAATCAGATGGCATCCATCAAATCTCTTGGTGTGGTCTGTTTCTTTGATGGAGGCAGTTGACACAGTTGGTACCTGTACATAAGTGTATCCTGTGGTGTATCAACCATACTCTGATTCAGAGTGACTGTTTCAATACTCGGCAGTATTATATTCTATTTAAACTATAATGAACTTTACTCTTGTAATTGCAAAATCCAGGAAGTAACTGTGTTCAAGTGTGTTGCCTCTATATTATGTGCATACATTGTCAATAAAAAGTCATTTGAACTAATTTGTTGTTGGTATAATAATTACAGGGATTGTTTGAGATTTCCGAATTGGCAGACTTCTATGGGTTCTATGCATTAAAAGAAAGAGCCATCTCAGAGAGCAGTAAGTTGGTAGCAGAGGCAACGGAACCCGGGAGGCAGAGAAAAATGGTGGAGATCTTTGATGAGCTATCCGATACACTTTGCAGGGTGGCAGACTTGGTGAGTGCCATATAATATCTCGATATTTGTGGTAACATGTGCAATGGAAATAATAGCAGGCTTGTTTCAAGTGTCAGTGTAATCATTTCTGTACGTTTATCCAGTTTTATGATGTCACAAATACGAAAAATGAATTTTGAGAATATATGCCTTGTGTAGTATATGTGGTTTATTGAAATATCATGAGGGTACATAAGTGTTTTTGTGCTGTTGTTATATTCAGGCAGAGTTCATCAGAGTTGCTCATCCAAACCTGAACTTCGCAACAGCTGCAGAAGATGCTAGTGTCAACATTGCAGGACTAGTAGAAAAGTTAGCAAAATGTCTTCACATTTATAACTTATTACACAGGGCTATTGATATTATTAAAGCAGAGTTTTACATCAGATCTATGACACTGCCAGCCCTCCATTGGTGGAGGTGGCAGGTATTGGGGTTCAGTAGCAAATATGCCCTAATTTTTTTAGATAAATGGTCTTAAAGAATGGTTTGAAATAATGCTACTTCCATCATTCTAGGCAACAAAAACTGCTGCCGAACATCTCATCAGCAACTCTCCAACTGTACAATAGTTGCATGCAAATATCACCTGTGCACAGTTAGCAAAGATAACAACCTGATCACGATTGTTCTGGGGAACATCTCGCGACCCCAGTAGAAAACTGCTTTAGGACACACGTACTACTCTAATGGTAGTTTTATTAACGTAGATTTGTGATTAACTGTGTTTCAGGTTGAACACAAACAGAGCGCTGTATAAGAGCCTAAGGCATGTCACTGAGCAAGGAGACATGTTTCCTGAGGATGATGTTGACAGACACGTCGCTAAGCTTTTCCTCTTTGACTTTGAACAGAGTGGAATTCATCTAGAAGAGAGCAAAGTAAGGGTCTTAATAATAAATGTAATAGAGTAACTAATAATTGCAGTTGCTTTAGTCACACGTTTTCTGTCCGCCGTAGTAAGATATGTTACAGGAATTTTCGAAGGCACGATTTTGAATTTTCACATGTTTCTCACCTGTGCATATCAAATCGTTGACTTTATCAGTTTATGGAACGTCATTACTAAGCATGGTTTTCAGAATGCCTTTACCACAACAATCACCGGCTAGAGCTATATCTACTACTCACTTCAGGTGGTCATGGCAGTTAATGTTTGGAGGAATTATTAGACAATCTAAATTGTTCATATATATGTAAAGATGATTACTCTGAATTGTGTTAATATTTGTTACACCTAGCTACACTAGATCGCAGAGAGAAACTTGAAATTGTCTTCTTGCAGCGGAAAAGAGTAGTTGAGCTGAATGAAGAAATACTTAAAGTAGGATCACAATTCATGGAGGCAACACAGCAGCCAATCTCCATTAAGAAGGAGGCACTTCCTGAACACCTACGATACAGGTATAGAGGAGATTATCCTATCTGTGTTCGTTATGCTATATATACATGGAAGTAATTGTTATCTAATCAATGAGTTTATTGCCTCACTACTGGCATGAGTTTGTAGTTCTGTTAGATTGAATATGATTGCACACATACATGTGATTGTAAGTGCATGTGATAGTAGCTATAATGTCATTATTCGTTATGTTGTAGTTTCAATTTGGAAGGTGACAATGTAATTGTCACAGGGATGTATTCTGAAAGCCACAATGAAGCTGTAAGTATCTTGCATGGGTGAGTTGGTTTTCTGCATGATTGTACTTGCAAGGATTAGAAATATCAGCAATTTTGACTAATGTACAAAATTAGATGCAATAGGTTGACGTGTAAGGCCCCCGGGTTTAAAGATAAAAGGCCTTAATGACAACGAGCTTTTAAATGGCTCTAACCTGCTTTCACCGTGAGCATTAAATGTGATCTAAGGTATTTCGTCGGTGTCTCTTGTCAGGTAAGAGAGGCAGCATACAAGATTTACCTTCATCACCAACCCTTCCAAGAGGAGCGGCTCTTGAATTTGCTGACAGCGAGGCATGAGTTGGCTGCTCTTTGTGGCTTCTCGTCTTACGCACACAGAGCAACAAGTGGTACACTGGCTGACAATCCAGGTAGGCATCTTGAACGTTTGTAGTTCCATGTAAGAAGCAAGGTCTATGAAGCGCATGAAGAGACATGAAAACTGTGTTGCAATTTGCATTTAAGGTTATAAGAGTTGTTTCTGATTTTTCTGTAAATTTCTGATGTACTGAAATGTTTTTGTGGGTACCCATATTATACTGGATCCAACATTAATGAGTTACAAGTAATGTTAGTTGTTATTATCTACTGATGTCAACTGAGCGTAATGACCGTGGTCGGGCATTTTTCTCTTATCTAGAAACCGTCATGCAGTTTCTGGAAGGGCTAGTGGAAGAAGTGAGGCCTGCTGCCGTGCATGATCTGGATATACTGGAGCAATACAAGGCAAAACACAAGAGCCAAGCTAGTGTGCTACAACCATGGGATGTTCCATATTACACTGCTGTAGCGAAACATGGAAGGTGACAACCGTGCCATCAGATCGCGTATTGTAGATGACACGTATGTCACGACTTGACAGTTGGCTTTCCTTGAAAAGATATAATCACAGAATTTCACTGCAATCTCCACCAAACATTAGAATGTCTATATAGCACTGTGATTAGGTTTGACATTGCTTGACTACACCTGTGGCTAATAAGGCATTGTTTTACAGCTGCCTATCATGTGAAGGTGTTGCATGCAAGGTGTTGATTATTGTTTCAGGCACAAGGTTGACCATAGTGAGTTTGCAAAGTATTTCCCACTGGGAGCATGCATGGAGGGCTTGAACGAATTGTTCCGCAGTCTCTATAACGTCACATTGGAACACGAGCCGGTTGAAGGTGGCGAGGTTTGGTGCGATGAGGTCTACAAATTGGTAAGCCAGCTTAAACAAGATGCAGCAGTGTTAGTGTGCATACAATGGCATATGTACGCGTGCGTGTGAAAATTAATTCACCGCTCCCCGTTGCTACCAATATATACATCAATATGTATCTTTGTCTTTAGGCTGTGTTGCATGAGGAAGAGGGTGTCCTTGGATATATTTACTGTGATTTTTTCGAGAGGATTGGCAAACCACAACAGGACTGCCATTTCACCATACGTGGTGGAAGACAGACTCGTGATGGTACATATCAGGTATGTAGCTGTTCGGTCTCTGTATCTTCATATTTAGCTATACTATTGAAATCTCGTCGATAGGTTGGATCCTGCAGAAATCCTTTGCATCGCTGCCTACGAAATAGTGCTGCTGCATATCTATTTCTTATGAGTTACTTTGCATTTATATTGATACTATTAGTGCCTGTGATCGTTTTACCAAGGATATGCTTCAGTTTTGCGTAGGAAGTCAGTCGGTGTTTTTTTTGACAGCTTCCAGTGGTTGTGCTCATGTTGAATCTCCCAGAGCCCAGCTGGTCAACACCCTCTCTGCTCAGCCCGGGAATGGTAGAGAACCTATTCCATGAGATGGGCCATGCTATGCATTCTATGCTAGGTCGGACCAAATACCAGCATGTCACTGGTGAGTCTGTAGTTGGGTGTAGGACAATTTATTTTGAGTGTGTAGCGTGAAACTGTACACAGTGGAGTATCACTGCAGGAGATCAGAGTCAGAAGTTATATACAACCGTGAGAATCTTCTTGCAGATCTGCGAGTTTCTGAATTTTGGTTTTCAAATTTATCATTCTTGAAATTGGTGAAAATCTTGTTGAAAATATCGTGGATATATATATATATATATTAGCCCAAGATTTTTTAATGACCCCATAAAAGTAGCTGTCCATTGTGTGGAGGTATGCGTTAGTATATGTTTGACTGTACCAGCTATTCCAGCTTAGATAAGCATTATTTGCAGTATGACTTAAGATAGTTATTCGCTTAATATGCAATGCCAGAAATAACTAATACAGAAAATGATTTATGTTTAATTAAGTACTGCTTTTAGTGTCTGCACTCTTATATTGCTCATTTTACAAATTGATTGAGTTATCCAATTCGTAGGTAATGTTTTATTCATGAAATCTTCAAAATCATGTAACTTAGGGAGCATAGCCTCCGGAACCTCAATATTATGAAGTGCAGACCAGCAGACCGCTCCGCTACCCCTCCACCTCACCGTTTTCACCACTCCACTCTCACCACCCTGACTATAGCTTTGATGTGGGCTTACCACTGGAGGGTGGGAGAGGGGGCGGATTTTGGGGTATTACAATTTGTGATTTTCATGCCTGTAATTATTATGTGTGAATTCTGAAACTCGTAGCATAAAAAATAATGTAACTATGGGCTTATGTGTTACATATAGTGCTTTGTTTTGCAGGTACGAGATGTTCAACAGACTTTGCTGAAGTGCCTTCAGTACTCATGGAATATTTTGCAACTGATCCTAGGGTAAAATTACTATGATTGACTTTGATTTAGCAAAACCAAGGTTCTTTTGTTCCAGGCTATTATTTTTGCAATCAGTGCTGTCAGTGGTGGCACACCAAGCCATCATAGTGTCATAACGCTTTAGTTATAATGTTATAATTTCATCCGTTGTATACTATTAGTTGATATTGCCTTCTTTTCTAGGTACTGTCTAGTTTTGCTAAACACTATAAGACGTGTGAACCAATACCAGAAGACATGGTAACAAGTTTATGTGCATCTAAGTACATGTTCAATGCTTGCGAAACACAATTACAGGTAAATGTTATTCACTGCACATATTGCTGTACTTCTTTTCTCATTTCACCTATTCTGCTAATTTAATTAGCACATCTTAAGAATGTAATAACGTAATTAATAGAAAACGTTTTGTATTCGCCTGCGATATGCAATGTGTGCTGTGATGATTTTTTAAGCGATATTCAATAAATTCTGGTTTTTTGCAACAGGTTTTTTATTCTGTCTTGGACCAGCGTCTTCATGGCATCCATCCTCTGGAGACGAGCCTTGTGGATCTTGTGGCAGACACACAAAATGAGTTTTACAGCATGAAACATGTTTCACAAACGGTATGTTGACTGAAACAGCCCTGTCTACACACACGAGCTGGATCTGCTAAATTGCATCTTTGAGAAGCGATATCGCAGAAACCATTGCAGCTAGAAACTAAAAAAAACAACTAAAATAAGAGGTCATTCGATTCTCATTCAAGCTTTCCCTTGCAGGGTCGTAAGAACATGCGAATCCTAGAAAGGCCAAAAATGCCTCACAATATAGACAGATTTTTGGGGATATCTTTTAACCATTCTAAGGCTTGCATGGCCATCATACGATGAGAAAGCATGAAAGAGAATTGAATGGCCTTTGATTAGGTTGTTTTTTCAAGTCTCTAGCTGCAATGGTTCCCGCGATAACGCTTCTCAAAGATAACTGAATCGAATTTTTTGTTTGCTCTGTATATACTGCCACTATATAGCAGTGTTTGACCTGACCTTCCCCCCCCCCAAGCAATCGCAGCTTCTGTCGACCTAAAGCTTGTACCCGTAGATTTTACGAAAGATTGTCATGTAATTGTAAGATAAGCACATGCTCCTAGGAAGTATGGTTTTCATGAGCTGGAGAGCCCTCCCACGCGCAGTGCAGTGTCGCATCGCTGATCAAAGCCAGACACACACAGCAGGCTAATTTAGTTTTAATGAGCTCCTTGTATACAAAGTGGCGCAGAGTGGCTTTCATGATCCAGTCGACCCCCCTGCTGCCAAGTTCATGCATATGTATGAATGCGTGACAATGTCCCTTTAATGGACGTGGTCCTATACTGCACATAGCGATGTCTCATGCCACGTATTTACAACAATTTTATTTTGTTTGCCATGTGCACCAATCAATGTATGGGTGTTCTGGCACATTGGAAATTTTGATGAACAAACAGTTTGTAAATAGATGTTCTTTTTTACTGTAACCGTAGAGGAGGTTTTTCCAGTATTAGAAAAATGTCATAGCTACTGTCATCACAAAATGAAAACTAGTTTTGATAGCGATTCAGACATAACGAATACTCAATTGGAAGTATTTTAATGTAGTTACTAGGTATTGAGCAATTAAATGAGTTTTTAAAATGACATTGTTGATCTGGCTTCATATACAGTGCGATCTTTTATGTGCAAAAAACAAGGATGCGTTTAGAAAAGTAATGACAATGTTCTAGTAAATTTAATAACAAACCTTCGTTGGCATCTCTTAAGCTTGGGACACACTATGCGAATTTCTCTGCGATCAGATCCGCAACGAAATTCGCGGCGAAAGTATTCGGACCCGCATGCGATAATTGAGCCGACACACTACACGCGATCTACTGTTGCCACACGGCTCCAACCATGGCTCCAACAGTCACGTGATCTCTGGATTGCCGTTATTTCTCAATTACGTGATTAGCATACTGATCAATGATTCGCTGCATTATAACATTGGCCGGCTCGATTTTCGCTTCCATGGACACACGATGCGAATTTGTCCGCAGCGGTAAAAATCCGCAGTGAAAATATCAAAAATGTTTGATCGCTGCGAATTTCGGTGCAGATGAAATTCGTGGCAAAATTCGCCCTTGCTTGAGCGGACACATGCGAATTCCGCGGCGGTTTTAAAAACTGCTGCGGTCGTGCGAATAAATTCGCATGGTATGTCCCCTGCTTTACATTGTCTTGAAATCTTGTTGCATATTTAATAATAGGCACAGACACCAATGGTTTTTTTACAATTGCTTTGTATCTTTATAGGTTTGGCCATTGAGATTTGCTCACCTTGTTGGCTATGGTGCTAAGTATTATTCCTACCTGATGTCACGTGCAGTTGCCTCTAGAATCTGGCACGAATGTTTCGCCGATGATCCATTCAGCAGGTAACCGGTTGAACATGCACACTTCTGGGCGCACGTTGTTTCTCCCGCTTAGCATTTCTTTTCCGTATCGCTCGCACTCCATCTCTGCTCTAGCTGTTCTTTTTCCAACTTCTAATGCTGATTACTATTCTGTCTGAATACGTGGTCGTTACAAACTAGTCACTTGTCTGAACATGATACATGTATATATGCTGATTGTAAGCCAAATGCATAGTTAGATACTATTGTGATGGTATGGGATAGCAGTGTCACGTGGGTCAGTGACCTTGATATTGCCTGCCAGCCTCGATAAATCTACTTGTCAACTGGAGATTTGGCTGTTATTCTGTGCAGAGCAAATGGCGAGCTGTACAGACGGACATTATTAGCACACGGTGGAGGCAAGCTCCCCATGACGCTTATAGAAGGTGAGTCAGAATTATGATCAATATTGCAACACCTTGCATAATTATGTTTTTTCCTGTATGCATAAAACTGCTTGCTGGAAATTTAAACTGACTTAACGGCGAGCAGTCTTGCTATGAGTTCTCCAGAATTAGATTATGAGGAATATTACCAAGGAATCGTATTCAGAATGTTACAGTATGCTTTTTTCTTGCATAACAGACTTGTTGAAGAAGCGTCCAACTACACAAGACTTCGTACAATCGCTAGTAGAGGATGTCAACAGTAGATGATGTTACCTACTAAACTGATAAGTAATATCTAGTCTCTCTGTACATATCCCTCTTTGTCATGACATTAGCATTACTATATCTACATGCGAAAAACGCACCTACTAAAGGCAAGAGTGTAGAAGTATGCGACTCTTTAAATAAAACTACCAATGCAGATTTTTAATTGAGAGTGATGCCTTGCAAACTTGATGGTTTGCTATATTGAACATGGCGTCATAATGTAGATATGAAAAATGCTAGGGCCTGTTGTCAGAAAAAAAATTAGTCTTGTTTACTTCTTTACAAACAAAAGTAACATGAACTTTTTCTCGTAGAGCTGAACTCTATACACTGTGTATGGAAAACTCGTAGCTATCACGTTTCTGTTAATGGTCTATGAGAAAAGGTTAAGAGTAATTTTTGTTTCTAACAATGGGCCACTAGTAGCTAAAGATGAGCTCAGGGATTACCTATAGATCTACGTTGTTAACATGTCTGATCATCGGCCGTCTACATTATGTTACTGATCGATTGACCAGAGTATTTGGGGGTATGAGAGGATTAATAGTATTGAGTAGGCGTAAACATGAATTTTTCAAAATTGAACCGCCGTATTTGAAGAAGTAGTGGAGATGTCATGACGGACTGCTATATATGACATTATTCTGTAAGCTCGGTGACAACTATTTAGTTTATTCATTTAAATTCAAACTTGCTTCGTTTTCATTGTCCTGCGGTGACATGTCGCAGCTAGTTTTTTAATCAGTAGTAGTACAGTGGCCTATGCCACTTTATTGTTTACTTTCACACTGATGAAATAATGCGCGCGCTGTTCATTTTGCGAGAAGCAGCTTCACATTAACATTGATAAAATCGTGGTCGGACTCGGCATTAATTTATTCTGCCTTACTGAAGTCAGTCCTATCAGGTTTGTTGCCTATATCACCACAAGTGGCCTGTCACATGAGGAGTGGGCCGGTGCAGTTATTGATTGTTAAAATAAAACCTATATCTCAATGAACGACAAGCGAATGGACTTTTTCATTACATCACAATCTGCATCCAGTTGGTCGCTCCGAATGAAAGAGCTAGTTAGGTCACCTTAGCTGGAATAATATTATCAGTCTGCTTAGGGTGTAAGCATATGAGTGTGATGAGCTTTATTTACATCGATCTATACAGATGCAATTTTAACACGTGCAGTAATCAACACAAAATTATAACATTCAAATAAACTATCAATTTTTAAATTGATTGAATGAAACACGTCTGACGGGGGAGGGCTGCCCATACGTTCCGTTATATATATGGATTTATATACGATCGCTGTCACCTCCTCACTATAATTGTTCAGTCATCCTCAGTTTAAAGTATGTACATCCTTGAAAGCCACCGCCCACAACTTGAGCCGCACTCGCTGAATGCGAAATCCTCGTAAATTGCCTGCATGTCCCCCTCACCAATCCAAACTCGAGCACCAGGCGGCGTTGCAGTCAGCGCGCGGGGAACTTGGCAGCCTCTTCACAAGGCGGGGTGGACTCGGCACGGCAGAGACCCCCGTACGCGAAGGAGGCTGCTGCACTTCTGCCTATCGCATCCTCGAGAAGATGATGAGTGATAGACACAGCACTGATTGAAATTGCAATGTTTTCCAGTCTGGAGGAGATGGATGCGCTGCCACGGCTGCGGCAGCTCCCTGCACGATGTATGTATCCCTCTCGATCCATCGGCGATTCTAATCACGCACTAATATCCGGCGCGTAACAACACGCGAGAGATAGCCGTGAGCACATTCTCGCAAAACAAATTTGTAGAAATGGGACGCGGCCGTATGTCAATTTGCCGAGATTATCTTCAAAATGTAGGTGGTTACGTATCCGTGCGGGACGGCGTCACGGTTAGAAGCGTAGATGGAGCTGAGCGTGGGAGAGCAGCACGCTGTCTGTCGCAAGTCGGCGTAGTGCAGTATTCTATACGCTCGTATGATGTACCGATCGAGGGAGGAATATGAGTGACGCGTCGAACGTGCACGAGTCACATGCTGCATGTGACAGTGTCAACAGCACGTGTCTGTGTCATCGTCGTAACGTGTCACACACACAATGCATTGCTGCCGTGCGCACACTTTCATCTCGCTACGCTGCCGATAGCTATCACAGCTTCACCACCTGACGTCGCCCAGAAGCGTGTTCAGTACTTTACGACGTCGGCAAGCACGCGTTGCACCGCATCACAGTGGTTGGTGCTTACACCTGGTGCGTGGTCACCTCGTCCGGTTAGAGACGCCCATCGTAATCACATGTAGCACACACACACACACACACACACATCACGTTAGCTAGGCTCTGCAGAAGACGCACGCATGCGAGCTTCCAAATGAAACACCGCCAGCACACGACTTCTTCGTCTTGCGACGTACTAATATCGCATATATCGTCTTGTCGGCAGGGTTGCGCACGCGATAACTGCCATGGGGTAAAACTGCGAGCGTTTTACTCAGTAACTCTGTGGCGGATTAATTGCAAATTGCTGCATTCTACCGTTACGCTGTTCGCTGTGGTCTCGGCCCCCCGTCTTTCGCTTGCCCCGTGGGATCTGCTTACAGGCGTCGCCATGGGGGGAAACTTCACGCGTTACTGCATACCGCATATTCGCCGACTAGCGCGAGTAATAATACCTAATGCTCACTCCTCGTTTGCTGGCCGCACACGCAGTAAGTGTTCTCGTAGCTGAGAATGCTGCGTCATGCGAGAGGCAAGCATATCCGCTCGGAACTTCCGCGGGCCCGCAGGGACAGGCTGTGTACCGCTGCCGGCGCATCTCCCGTGGAGAGCTACGACAGTTCTCCGCGCACTCGATCGCAAACAGCATTTAAAATATCGATGCAGCCGTTTGTGCTCATGCACACCGTGGGACAGCGAGCAAGAAAAATGTGAACGAACAGGAGAGAAAAAGGGGGAGCGAGTGGAGGAGGAGGGGGAGGGGGAGGGGGAGGGGTGGAAGAAGAGTGGGTGAGCGAGAGAGGGAGATAAGAGCACGAGAAAAAAGCAAGTTGAAAAGTAAGGAGGAATAGCGAGTGAGGGAGAGAAAGAGAGGGAGCGAGAGCGGGAGGAAGAGTGGGGGAGAGCGGGAGGAAGAGAGGGAGCGAGAGCGGGAGGAAGAGTGGGGGAGGGCGGGAGGAAGAGAGGGAACGAGAGCGGGAGGAAGAGAGGGAGCGAGAGCGGGAGGAAGAGAGGGAGCGAGAGCAGGAGGAAGAGAGGGAGGAAGAGCGGGAGGGAGAGCGGGAGGAAGGGAGGGAGCGAGAGCGGGAGGAAGCGAGGGAGCGAGAGCGGGAGGAAGCGAGGGAGCGAGAACGGGAGGAAGAGTTGGGGAGGGCGGGAAGAAGAGAGGGAGAGAGGGAGAGAGAAACACAGACGGTAAGTGTAAGTGAGCGATGTGAACGCAGAGTGCTGTGCACGCATGCGGGCGTTGGTGTGCACGTAATAAAGCTGCCGCCGCTGCTGCTGCTGTTAGGTCGCCATCAGGAGTGTTTGCGTCGTAGCTCTCGCTGTCGCTGCGGCGTGTAGAAATAATTAAAGCGTGTGACCTAGGATCGGCGACCATAGCGCGAGTCATCGTTGAGGCTACTGCCGACAGAGCGTAATCATTGTAGCGATCCATATACGATGCTGTGCATACGATCAAGAGTACATAATAGAGATTTACTATTGATGTTATGTACTCTTGATATTATGTACTTTTGATGTTATGTACTCTTGATATTATGTACTCTTGATATTATGTACTCTTGATACGATGCTTGAATGCCATGTTCGCATGCGATACTGACATTCCATGCTTGCATACAAACTTCGCATGTGATGCTATCACACCACGCTTGCATGCGATGCTTATACCTATTGTGTTTGCATAACGTATTGGCATACTATGCTCGCACACAATGATCACATACGATGCTTGTAAAAGGAGCTTACATACGAAGTTTGCGTACCATGCTTGCATACGATACCCGCTGCGTACGAAGCTTGCGTACGAAGCTTGCGTACTAAGCTCAGGCGCTTATATAACGCTTGGCCACTAAGAGGTCAGTGAACATCGATGCAGAGATGCATGGACACCGCCGCACTTGATGTATGGGATTAGCTATATGTCAGGGCGCCATTTCCACGCGGGTTGACGATAAAGCGCTACTTGCTCCCGCTATCTAAATATATCCACGACTACAGCACGCGTTCGCTTCTCGCAATTGTCTAGATCATGCTCGCCTGGCGATGCTGAGCCGGGCTGTGAACGCGCGCACGTATGCACGCACGCACGCACGCACACCCGAACGCACGTACGAACGCACGCACGCACGCACGAACGAACGCACGCACGCACGCCGTTAGCGCGCCGCTAGTCTTAGTTCCACGTCGGCGCTCGCGGTCTGTGACTGACGATAGGAGGCGTGTTAGAGTGGCTCGAGTGGTCGGATCGCGGCGGCGTGCTGGAGTGCGTAGATCTGGCGAGGGGCGGCGCCGACGTCAGCAGCACACGGAACTCGGGGCTGGACGCCGACGTGATTGGCGTGAACGTGGTCGTCGTCGACGACGACGACGACGCTGGGGCGGCGACGCGCGGTTTGCCGTTCAGCGACAGCGCGCTCATCTTCGCCCGCATGTGCTTCAGCGCCCTCTGTTCGGCCGGCGTCGCCGAGGCGACCTTCAGCGGATGTGTGCCGACGACAACCGGAAGTTGAATTAATAGCGGTTTATCGGCGCCCGAGATGCCGACCTTCACCTGCGGAGTAAAACGATGAGAAATACACATTTGACCCATGTATGCGTGCTGTTGCGTTGCGCCGCTGTTGTTTGTGTGTGTGTGTGCAATGTTGTGCTTGTGTGCTGTGTGTGTGTGTGTGTTGGTGTGTGTGCTGGTGTTGTTGTGTGTGTGTGGCGTGTGTGTGTGTAGGTGGTAGTGTGTGTGTGTGTGTGTGTGTGTTGTGTGTGTGTTTGTTGTGTGTGTGTGTGTGTGTGTCGCTTGTCGTGCGTGTGTGGTGATGTTGTGTGTGTGTGTGTGCTGTGTGATTGTGTGTGTTGTGTGTGCGTACGCTGCGTGCCGCGCACGTGTGTTTGTGTGTGTGGTCGTTGTGTGTGTGTGTGGCGCGCTGCGCGCGCGTGTTTGTGTGTGTCGTGCGATTTTGTGTGTGTGGTGGCGTGCTGTGCGTGCGTGCGTGCGTGTGGGTGTGTGTGCGTGTGTGTTTATGCGCGTGCGTGTGTATGGTTAAAGTATGATACGTGACGATGTTTTGTCGTGTTGGCTTCACACGCGAGCCCATGCACGAACACACGTAATAGCGCCACCGTTAGACGTGGGAATGAAACTGGTCTGCATGTGTGTATTCACCAAAGTTCCCGTAGATGTTGCTGTACCTTGTATGCTGTACATTGTGCTTGGGAATTAAACCCCTGCGAAAGCACGGTTAATATTTAAACCTGAATATTGATCTAATATAAACCTTGTATCTGTCTGTCCAGCTCCTCTCTCACTCGCATGCGCGTGCACTCTCTCTCTCTCTCCCTTATGCGCGCTCTCTCTCCCGCCCCTCGCTCTTTCTGTCTCTCTCGCTCGCCCTCTCTCCCTCTTTCTCTCTCTTCCATACGTATGTACTCACTCACCTCTGTCAGTCGGTCTATCTGTCTGTCCGTCGGTCTGTCCATCCGTCCGCCCGTCCGTGTGCCTGTGTGTGTGTCTGTCTGTTTGTCTGTCTGTCTGCCCATCTCTTTCTTTATATCTATCTCTCTAACAGAGAGCCACACGCGCGCACATACGCACACAGACACGTGTAATATTGATATAACCACATTTACCTCTAAGAGATACGATAGCGTCATCAGTTGGCAGGCGTCGAGATGGTTGCTAGGTTTTAACGTCGCATTGAACGGTATGACCACCACGTCGGCCACCTCGCTGTGCGGGCCTACCAAGCCTGGACGCGACACCGTGTGTACAGTTGTACAGCATTCTTTACTGTGGCTACCGGTCGTGAAGGCTTCCGTCTGTCAAAGAAGGCACACAATCGTAAATGTCGCTCTCCTGGCACTTATTCGCCTGTTGCTGTCTGCTTATTGATACATGGGTTCTGTCAATATGCCGTATATCTCGCCGAAGCACCGGGTTCGTTTTTTCTATCATTAGACTAGTGGCAGTCAAGAGACGCAGGTCGCCAGAACCCGAAATTGAATTAGTGTGCGCGCGCTCTCCATCGATTCCATCCCCTTATCCTTCTCTCTCCCCCTCTATTTTTTTCTTTATCTCTCTTCAACCCCTTCCCTCTCGCTCTCTCTGTCTGTTTTTATGTTTACTGTATATGCGTCTATAGCTGTAGGCATGTATTATTAATCCGCTACGGTTGCTGGCGTCTAGGGTTTGGGATACCAGGAAATTTCCAAATTTTGCTAATAAATGCCTGACAGAAAACGCAAAAAATAGAAGCGAAACGAAGTTGCAAATCGCACTTGAATGAACATTACAATTCACGTTCTACCCACCTAATCTTTCATATTGAGAAGTCTATGTAGCACCAGTAAAGAACGTCACAAATCCTGTCTGTGGGCATTTAAATCACTCAACTTTACACCATTTTGATAACGGAGAGCCCAAAGCCCAATAGTATCTATTAATTAACCGTCTTCACACGCCACAATCCCGCTGATTCGAGTACTGCATCATCTTTCTCCCGGTCCCGGCCGTAGCCACTTAAGCTTTCCGCAGCTATCGGAGTTTTATGAGCCTATTTACGCAATGTCGATCTCTTTACTTCTACGTATGTAATGACAGCATACTAAACTATGCGCGGTGCGCTCGTCCGTAAGAAGAATTCTACAGTAGATGTAGGAGACTGAAGCTCATACCGGATATTTCTCCTTATTGACTAGAATGCACACAGCTGCCCCCCAGACCCCCATGATTTCTACATGTCTACAAGAAAGATAGGTACTATATTCCCTACCTGATCCTCCACCCAATCGCGAGCGGGTGCATGTGTGCGTGTATCTGTCTGCGTGCGTGCGTGCGTGCGCGTTGCGTGCGTGTGGTGTGGCTGTGTGTGTGTGTGTGTGTGTGTGTGTGTGCGCGCGTGTGTGTGTGCGCGCGAGGGCGCATACGTGCCTGCATGCGTCCGGGCGCGCGCGCGTGTGCGTGTGCTATCGCGTGAGCGAGGGTGGATGGATGGGTGACTCGCCCTAAGCAAGCGCGTGCCTTCGGCTAAATACTGTACATTGCCGCACAGTGAGGAGAGGCTGAGGTTTCATCACGTTCCGCTGCTTACTTTGATAAGATGAACGGCAGCCTTCGCTTCCCGCCTGCTATTATTGTCGACCTGTACGGAGAGGGCAAGACTCATGCCGATAGCGCAGCCTGCATGTGACACGCTCGCTGTCACCAGCACGGCGCCACCTCTGCAGCAGCAGCGCCGGAAGTACTTCTCACCGCTAGTCTCGCTCTCCTGCTGCAAAGTATAATATAGTAGGTCTCAGGGGAGAGATAGTGAATATAGAAATAAGTTGTGGATATAGAAATCAGTTAACCCTAACCCTAATCCTAACCTTAACCCTAACCCTAATCCGAACCCTAACCCTAACCCTAACCCTATCCCTAATTCTAAAATAAAACAAAATAAGCCAAAAATAATAAAAAATAAAATACATATGAGACAAAATTAGCCAATCAGAGCCGTCCCCTAGCGGATCACTATCTCTCCCCTGTGCAAAATTCAAGTATAATGTGCGGCGTGAAAATTGGGCGGCGGGGGGAAAGAATTCACAATTCCCAGCATGCGTGGCGCTGGCCGTAAAATAAATTGCTTCTTGTGAAATGTTTACGGAATGCCGTAAATATTTTCCATATATCTCGGCTGGGCCACAATATTAGAATAATTTTACGGCGTGATTCGGTTTCCTGCCCTCGCCCGCTGGGACCGCATTATGTGGGAAAACGGAATAAATTTGAAAGTCTACTTAGCAAAACTTTCGCCTTCGTCCATTTGCTATTCTCGACGCTCATTAACTGAGCAATATCACCACTCACCCTACGACCTTTTCCGAATAATCACGGAGTTGGACGAATTATCTCCGACTAGCCAGGCTGCCTGTAGCAAGCAAGCGTGGCTATCGAAGTGTGCTTTTCCCATTTTTTAAGTCAGGCGCGAGTTTGGCAAAAAAAATCCGAGCGTTTCACGAAATGCTGCCAGCGCAGATGGGGGACCATATCGCACGTTAATACACAAACGCTAGCTTTCTGCTCGCTTACCGCTGCAGACGGAACGTCGTTGAGATCCATGTGGTCGTGCGGCCGTATGATAACGGGGGATTCGACCTCGTAGTTTTGCCCCGTCGGCCGGAGCATGCTGGCGACGGCCCTGTAGCGCACTGCTCCGAAACCGGACGTGTACGACGGCGCCAGTCTAGTCGGCAGCGTGCATTCGAAATTGAATATGTGTCGGCCGGGGTTGAGGAGACATGTCGGCTGCATGAGTGTCTCCGAGACACAGTCGGTCGCCATCAGCAGTGTCGTCGCCGTCTGCTGCGTCTCTGCAGGCGCGGGAAAATAAACGCCGCGTTCACTCAACCGGCACTCCCAATGATAATTCTCTGTAGGGGGTGGGGGTTGTCTCTGTAGGGTTGGGGGTTGTCTCTGTAGAAGTGGAGGTTGTCTATGTAGGGGTGAGGGTTGTCTCTGTAGGGTTGGGGGTTGTTTCTGTAGAAGTGGAGGTTGTCTATGTAGGGGTGGGGGTTGTCTCTGTAGAAGTGGAGGTTGTCTATGTAGGGATGGGGGTTGTCTCTGTAGGGGTGGGGGTTGTCTCTGCAGGGGTGGGGGTTGTCTCTGTAGGGTTGGGGGTTGTCTCTGTAGGGGTGGAGGTTGTCTCTGTAGGGTTGGGGGTTGTCTCTGTAGAAGTGGAGGTTGTCTATGTAGGGATGGGGGTTGTCTCTGTAGGGGTGGGGGTTGTCTCTGTAGGGGTGGGGGTTGTCTCTG